AAAAAAAAAAAAAAAAAAAAAAAAAAAAAACTATAACGAAACAAAACAAAAATCAAACTTAAATAATGATTATAAATAATATAAATGGGATTTTTTTTATGTTTTTTTAATTCTTTAATTAACAAAAATTAGAGATAATTGATATTTTCATTTTGATTCATTCTTCTAAACGTATATATGAGATTTTGCAACAACAAGAACAATGACAAAAAATGTGACGCAAACATAAACAATGTCTGTTATTTTATTTCAAAAGGGGTTGAGGTGGGGGGAAGCCAAAGGTTTTCATTCAGTACAAAATTCCGTGGAAACATTTTTTTAAAACAATTTGAGTGAGTCGAGCGAGTTGAGAGAAAAAAAAAACGAGAAAAAAAAAAAAAGAATCATCTCCGACAATAATCTCATAGTCGTCGTCGTCGTATAGTTTGACATCAAGTGAAATGCATTATTCCAAATTTTTCCTATAAAGAAAGTGCGAGATTATATTGATGATACGACACGCATAATACTTATTCTACTTTATTTCTTCAAGTAGGGTAAAGTTCACGATGAGATATCTCTCGTGCAATGTTCCTCTCGTAATACATAACTACTACTATACAGACAAAGGCGTGGGATAATAAAATTTAGTTGGAATAAAAGTAGAAGGAATGCGATATACGATTGAGAGAACTCAAAGTGAGAAGAAAAAAGAAAAAAAAAAATATAATAAGAGAAAGAAAAGTATTGACACGCGACGAGCTTTTATCCTTTATCTCGACTAACACGTAAGGACACCTACATGGTTCGCATACAGGGTGGTTAACAAAAAATCTGATGTAATATTTCAACGTATCATAACGCGTTCGTCTTATTGTGAATTATAATATATAATCAAATGAATATAAATTAATTGAGAAAATAATCTTATTAAATATCATTGATCGTATTATATCGATTGATTACTATTTCAATTTAAATTAACTTTTAATTATTTATCTGATATTGTTTTATAATATTATAAGATGTGCATTTTTAAAACGTACGAATTAAAAAAAGAAAAGTTAAGAAGAATTGAAATGTTTTAATAAAAATTCATCGGAAACAATTATCGGTAGTATTAATAGTAAATTTAAATTGACACGAATTGTTATATTATATTATATATATTCGTGTAAGTTGGGGGTTACGAAAACGGGACAAATGATGGAAAGCAAATCGATACGTATATTGACATTTCTCGATTATCGAAAGTATATATGTACATATATATATGTATATATATATGTATATATAAAAATAATATTTATTAAAGAAATTATGGACAATCCTATATTTGTATCATTTGATGTAACGCTTCGATAATATTTATCTATATGAACATTCACATTTTATCATTGGGATCCGATATACTATAATAATATTGTTATATTAAATTGTAATTAAAGTAGGACATCGTTTATATAATTGTTTAAAATTTGATAACATATGACATTTGATAGAATACATACATATATATTGAATAAAAAGAGAAAAAAAGAAAAACAAGAGAAATTATGAATTTCGGAGAAACATATTAAACGTGAAATATGATCATTATGATTGATGAGTAGAAACAAGTCGGGGGGAAAAATGTTGAAAATCATAAAATAAACTGTTAACAATTATAAAGCTTCGTTCGTTGGCAAACGTAAAAGTCTTTTTTTTTTTTAAATTTCAAATTATTAATAAAATTTAAAAACATTCTACAATTTTTTTAACGTGTATCATCCCATGCAAAAATTTTTCAGTTAATTTATGAATTAAATACGAATGAATTAAATTAATATACGTATAAAAAAGAGTATGACACACACACGCACACATACATATATTTTATATATTATATACATATATGTACATAAGAATAAAAGAATCTACAGGACAATGCTGTATTTTCCACGAAGCGTGAACCACAAACTATGAAAATTACGTTCCTGTGACCTTCTACGACTCGTATGAATTGTGCTATTGTAAGGATCCTCACCCTTTATGACGTTTAACATATTGCCACGATTAACTATAAATTCTGAAAGGATCCAAATTGAATTGATATTTTTCCTCTCGTACAGCTTTAACAAGAATGATATCATACGTCAACGTAAATGACGAATACTCTATAATTATTTTCAATGTTTTATTTAAAAAAGAACAAAATTAACACCAATATAAATGAAACAACAGCTCGCACTATCTGTTACTAATATAAACTTGAAAGAAAAAAAAAACTTTACAATAAGCAAAACGGTGTGATTATTTAACGTTGGTGAATTTTTCTTTTTTCACCGTCTCTCGTGGGAACGCTACGTAAAAGCCTCGCTTTTAGTAGAAGAAGAGGAAAAAAAAGAGAAAAAAAAAAACATAATCGCATAGAATCACTCGAAAGTAGAAAATTGATCTTAAATGGGTTGAGTTAAAAAACAAAAAGAAAAGAAAAAATGGTTAGCATCAATCCGTGACAAAATGTTTCCGCGTGCCATCGATATGCAAATGTAAAATAAAAAAAATAAAAAATAAAATAAAATAAAATAAATATAAATATATAAAAAAAAAAAAATTAAAATAAAAATGTGTGAAAAAATATTGTAAAACAAAAATATCCTCGATGGGAATTCTTCGGGAAAGATAAAATTTTTTTATAAATGGATATTATAATATACAACGAATTTCAACGATAATGATTGTGTGACTAGTTGTATGGTAAAAATCTTTCATCTTAGCTGAAAATGGCAGGTCAAACGATGTCTATCACGAGATTTCGTACTTTATACTCTCTCTCTCTCTCTCTTTTTTTTTTTCTATTTTTTTTTTCCTTCATCAAGAAACTAACATAAACTCGGTGAAACGATTCCGAGGTTGATATCATCATCAGCCATTTTTTTTTCTTTTTTTTTATCGCTCTAGGCTCGAGAATAAAAGTCGAAGGAGAAGAGAAGTGGAAAAAGGGGGGGATAATAACGCGAAAGAAAAAAATTTTTTCTCACTTTTAACAACGCGAATGCTTTTTTTATATATATATAAGTCTTTAAATTGTTATAAGTATATTCCCCTTCTATGCAATAATTATTATTTTACGACAAGTACAAAGATAAATTTTATTGATATTATTCATTTTCCGTTAACAATTTTCCATAGGAATTTTCATCACTTCGTAATCAATTAATTCTTCTATTTATTACAAAACACAATAAAATTAATTGGAAAAATAATATAACATATTTCCAAAGTATTCGAATACTTTTGTATTAAATAAACGTTCTTAAATCTTATTTTATTCGATCATTATTACTGGTAAACTTTTTATAAACATTATCACGATACATTCTATAACATTAATACTCGTGATACTTGTACTTGGAAAATCTTCCATAAATAAAAAAAAAACGTATAATATAAAAATCATATCTTAGATGTACGTCAAAAATCAGATTTATTTTTTTGTTTACTTTTATTTTTTTCCCCTTACGATAAAACGAAGTTTCTTTAACGAAAAGAAAGAACCAAGTAGTAGTAGTAGTAGTAGTAGTAGTAGTAGGTGGATTAGTTCGAAGGTAATTCCCAACGCGCTTGAAAGCTTTGATTGGCTACTTCGTTTAGTTTGCCAACGGAAAAGAGACAGAAAAATCTTTTTTTTTTCTTCTTCTTTCCTCAGTTATCTCTTCTTTTCGAAAGTCCCCGTGTCATAAGATTCTTTAAGTTCGTTCGAGTATCACTTTAATTACTACTCGCATCCTCGAGAACTCAAAAGTACTCTCCTTAAAAAGTTGAAGCTTAAATTTCAACGAAAATCTGTAATATCCTTGTAATCCTTAATACAAAAAGTACGAGCGATAAATAAAAATACGATAAAACCTTTAAGACCAAAAATCTTGATCCAATTGGGATCATACTCGAACATTTATTATTTCATTTTCTAAATCAAATTCGTATAAAAATTTTGTCCATTCAATTTTTCATAATTCTCTATCTTAACACGTATTAAGAAAAAAAAAATATCTTGCTTCAATTGGTATCATCGAACATTTATTGTGTTTTATTTTTTAAATCAAATTCGTATAAAATATTTCGATTCACTTTTATATATATACTACTACTATCTTAATACTTATTAAAAAGTATTAATTGGAAAACTGATCCTACCTATTTCTATTTCTCTTCGTAAAAAGCAAATAAACTTTTCTCCTTGTTTTTTGTTTTTATTTTTATTCGATAAAATATTAAAAATATATATTTAAACCGCGTATATTTTCTGTCTCAAAAGTGTGTAATTTTTCTACCTTCCGATATAGTAACCATATTAAAGTCACGTATCGGTTTCTTTTAAGTAGAATTTTAAAAAATGATTTTATGTCGGTAAAAATGGATCGAAAGGCAAAATACGACATCCCCCCCTTCATTTCATATACATCGTATGAATAATGTATTTTATATTTGTTGGTTTTGTTTTGTTTTACAGCAAGATTTATTGCGAAGGGCCACTTTTGCAAACCGTACAGTTAGCTGAAATCTTCAATGACAGTAAAACATTCGTCGACTTGTTTCAGAAAAACGATCCTCAAATTACACTTATCAAGTAAGTAACTATTAACATACACTCATACACACATCGATAAGAATTCTTTAATATATATAAATAAAATAAAGATTATATTACGGATTTTAATTTTATTTAATTTTATATTGAATGATATAGTAGATTTTGATTATTAATAATAATAAATTAGATGAAATATTTTTGAAGAGAAAAATTCAAAGAAAAAAAAAAGAAAAGAAAAAACGTAATATATACCAAAGAGACGACTTATGATAAATTTTCGTTCGAACAATCGCGAAGTTTGCATTTTCGTAGAATTCTCAGTCAAGTCTTGATGTAAGTGAAGACACACATGTTTCCACCAGCTGTTTCTTTATTGTCCCGTGAAACAGTGCAAACGTAAGCAGCAAGTAGTAAGTAGTATCGTTCGAAGGAGAACGATGGAAGGAACATGTAATGTCTCTTTCGTCTAAAAGATATTCAAATTTTATCTTATTGTCTGGAACACCTAGTAAATTGTAAACCTGTGAAACATCTTACCGATGTGACAGAAAGTCTCGTAATATTATTCGATATATCAAATATTTCCTCCATTTTACGAAACAATTTCGTTCGTTTAATAAAAGAAAGGATTATTTTAAATAAAAGATAGAAACAAAAATAAAATATAAAAATAAAAAGTATTTGAGAGAAATTGATCGTTTAAACTATTTCAATCGTTTGAAAACGTTTAGTTCGTTAAATTATTCTATTTAATATATCGCAATTATACGCTCAATTAATGCTAACAGATAATTAACTTAACATCGGATGAATAAACATTATCATCTGTGCAATTAGTTATAACGTCAAGTTATTTTTTTCTTCTCCTTATTGTATTGGCTAACGTCAATTGCATATTATTCAACTTTTACGATTCTTACGAGCAATTTGACTTTGACATTTAATCGTAATTCAATAATTAACTAACTAGTTATTTTATCAATTTTCGAGATAATTATATTCAAAATGAATAATTATATATAATATAACATATGTCAAAAAAAAATATAAGATTTGTAATTAGTCGAAGAAAATAATTGTATGATTTTATTTGATTGTTTTTTATTTCTTTGATTTTTCAAGCTTCAATAAATTAATGGCAGCAACTAATAATCAACCAAATCGTACACAAGTAAATCAATTCGTTTTGGATAATTTTTCAACGGAAAGCGAACTTGATAACTATACTTTACCGGATTGGCAAGAAAATCCTCCGATATTAAAAACCATTGAAGATCCCAATTTGCAAAAGTGGGCGAAAGAATTGAACGACATATGGAAAAAATTGGCGAGGAAGATAAAACCGATGGTGTTGGAACATCCGGAAAGGCATAGTCTCATTTATGTGGATAAACCATTCGTAGTGCCGGGTGGTCGATTTAAAGGTACACTCAAAAATATTTATATTATTATTATTAAATTTTTACAATTAAACTAATTTTAATAATTACACATTAAAGAGTACGTTCGTATAAGTTTATTATTTTATAAAAAAAAATTCACAAAATAATCAAAAATCAAAAGCACACGGTTTTCATTTTTCCGAACGGTTCACCCATCCTATTTTATTAAACTTTGTTTGATTTTATTGGTGATCTTATAAAAATTATTAATCTAACGTGGCTAATATATATATATTAATATAAAATAATATTTATAATATTTAATATATACTAATTTTTTGTTGTTGTGTTTAACAGAATTTTACTACTGGGACAGTTATTGGGTAATCGAAGGATTATTGATATGTGGAATGACTGACACTGCTAGAGGAATGATTGACAACTTTTTATCGATGGTTGAAAGATTCGGATTTATACCAAATGGTGGCCGCGTTTATTATCTCATGAGAAGTCATCCACCATTATTAATTCCCATGGTAAGTTTTGATACTAACGTTCCTTGCTTGTTTGCTTCTTTTTTCTTTTTCTATTGTTACGTAAGTAGCATTTATATATGGATGGATTGAAATGTTTTTGAGCATAAAAAAAAAAAAGAAAGACAAAAGTAGAATCAAACGTTTAAAACTATAGTATGACGATAATTACTAGATCGATTTCAAATAATTTCGAAATAGTTCACAGAACTTTCGAGGGGAACGTACTTTTCACTAACTTTTCAACTACTTTTTTTGTTCTTCTTATTTCGCTTGCCGTAAAATCGTTTTTCTTTCTTATTTTCTCTCTCTCTCTCTCTCTCTCTCCTTTTTTCCCCGTACTTTCCGCTTTTAAAGAAAAGTATTCGCAAAACATAGAACTCGTGAAGAATCTTCAAGCAAACACGAGATATACCACTTCTTAATGTAACTCGAAGTGAAAAAAATCATTTAATTACAAAAGATACCTAGAAAAAAAATATTATTAAATTTTTCTTGAAAATTTGTTATCACAAGATCACTTGAAAAAGATTTTAAATTAATTTTTAACTAATTAACTATTGATATAATAATTATTCTCCTAATTGTTTTAATTGTTCGTTGTTGTAGGTCAAGTTGTATTTAGAGTATACGCAAGATTACGAATATTTGAAGAAAATTATCGGAACCTTGGAAAAGGAATTCGATTATTGGGTTAAGTACAAGATGATCGATGTTGATAAAAATGGAAAAACTTATAGAATGGCTCATTACGTAGTTAACAGCCCAAGGCCACGGCCAGAAAGTTATAAGTACGTTTACATTTTTATTATTTCATATTACGATGCACAAATTTAATATAAAATAATAATTTTTTGTGAGTATTTCTTATAAGATAATATTTAAAAAGAAAAAAAGAAATATTATTATTTTTGTAAAATCAATACGATTTTAAAATCATAATAATAATAATAAAAACAATGGATATTAATTTAATATAAACTTTGAAATAATTTATATAATAAATCAAATCTACGATGAAATATCATAAATATCGTGGAATTTCGAAACATTTCGTAATTTAATAAAGATTGTAAAATTGTTCGATAACTATTCGACGATATTATTATTTAAGATGAAATATTTAGTTGCTTCTTTAGTAATAAATATACCGATACCGTATATACTATAATTCGAGATAAACTTTATATAAATTAATTGATCATAAAGAAATTCAAAATTCGTCGATAATTTTAAAAGCTTATGCTTTAATAATAAAAACAAACATAACGATTTATGTTTTCTTCGAGTATATCTAATAAAAAAAAAAACAAAAACAAAAACAAAAAAGAAACGAAATAAAATAATTTATTGATTTTTAGGGAAGACTATTATTTGGGTCAGAAATTTTTCGACGTCGATAAACAGGCATCATTTTACAATGATTTGAAAGCTGGCGCTGAAAGTGGTTGGGATTTTTCAGGAAGATGGTTTATCGGATCGGACGGTCAATTGTCAAACAATTTGATCGATATTAATACGCAAAATATAATACCCGTTGATTTGAATAGTTTTCTTCAACAAAATGCACGTACTATGGTTAAATTTTGTAGAAAAACGAAAAACGAACAAGTAAGTTAGCACAACGAGCCGGGTTGTTTTCTTGTTTGTTCTTATGATCGACAAAAAACCAAATAGAAAAATCGCTTTCATAAATTTTTATCACGTTGATGATGATGATTATTTGTTTTGTAGAAAATCTCATATTACGTGCACATGGCGAAGAAATTACAAGAAGGTATAGACGAGGTATTGTGGAACAACGAGTTTAATGTTTGGATGGATTACGATTTAAAAAATCAACGACATAGAACATCATTTTATCCGACAAATTTGGCACCGTTGTATACCCTAAGTTACGATGCTAATAATGTTAAAGAAATCGCACTTGGTGTTGTATCTTATTTGAAGAAAACAGGAATCCCTACCTACTTCGGTAAATCATTATATTATATTATTGTCAAGAACAAAAAAATTGTATTAAAATAAATCCACGATACATAATTCGCAATTATTTTTACGAAAAGGCGGAACTCCTGCATCGCTAAATCAAACTGGTGAACAATGGGATTTCCCAAACGCATGGCCACCCCTACAATCTATAATGATCCAAGGATTATATCGAACTCAAGTCACTGAAGCTGTTCAATTCAGTTCGCATCTTGCTCGTAGATGGCTGGAATCTAATTACATTGGCTTTGAAGCTACAGGAAAAATGTTCGAAAAGGTAAGTTATTATTATCTTACATAATTACGTACGTTTTAACATTTAATTACAATGAATTATCGACTAATCCGTTAATTGAAAGAATTAGGTCACTTTTAGCAACTTCTTATTGTGTCTTTTTTTTTTTTTAACATAAATTACTCGGATTTATTTATGATCTTTTCAAAAACACAAGCTTAAATATTTAGTCAATTATATCCAATTGTAATAAATAAAAACATTTTCAAATCAAATCTAAAAGTGCTAAGTTTGTGTTAATCATGCAAATTAGGAGAGTAGGAACCCCTTTTAATATTCTTAAAATAACTAATGGTATGTGAATAAAAAGATAAGAAACGTTAAAAGTATCATTATCATTGGATTAACATAAGAGAAATGTTTAATCGACAGGATTATATGAAATTTATATGAGCATTAGAGAAATTATTTTCTCTTATATCTTATTTTCTCCCTTTTCCTTTGAAATCGTGTTAATCCAAGCCCTTCGATGAGATATTTCGAAGGATAATACAAACGGAGTCCTCTGATTTATTCACAATGGAAGCTGATTGTTCGTAAGCTTCAGCTTTGTTCTTGGACAAACTAATGCTAGGATAAGCATCACGATATCTTCGAGAGAAACTGAAGAAAATCGTTTTATTGTAAAGGATCGGACGGTATATACAAGAATAGCATATTATACGAATACCTTTTCTTTATCCAACAGATTTTTCTTTATCTCTTTTGAATTATTCCTGAAATATAAAAAGTATATATATATACTTTTATATATATATAATCAGGTTTTTATTRCACAACTTACAAAGTTTTTTACAATGTCTTATCATTAC